GACCCCAAAATGACCCCAAATGACCCCAATTCTGAGCTCATCCAGACCCCAAAACAACCCCAAACTGACCCCAAAAAACCCCAAATGACCCCAAAAACCCCAAATGACCCCAAACCGACCCCATCACCCCGTGACCCCAAATGGGTGTGGGCGGGGCTTGGCTGGGAGGCGTGGCCTAAGGTCAACGTGGGCGGGGCTTTGGTAAGGGGGGCGAGGCCTGATGTCACGTGAGCGGGTGGTGGGAGTGGTCAGCGCGTAGGTGTGGGCGTGGCCTCCGGGTATGAGGGCGTGGGTTTAGGGGCGTGGTCTGAATTTCTGGGGGCGGGGTCAGCGTGTGGTTGTGGGCGTGGCCTCTGATGTGGGCGTGAGGCGAGATTGTGTGGCCGTCAGGGATTGGTTGTGGATGAGACTTCCTCTAGGGGGCGTGGCCTGATGCTGTGTGGGCGTGGTCAGGGAGAGCGTGTGGGCGTGGCTTTAATCGGGGGCGTTTCCTGGTGTTACGTGGGCGTGGCTTTTGTTAAGGGCGTGGCCTGAGGTTACTCTGGTGTCAGGGAGTGGTCGTAGGCGTGGCTTTTGGTAGGGGGCGTGGCCAGGAGTTACGTGGGCGTGGTCAGTGATCATGGTGGGCGTGGCCTGAGGTTATATGGGCGTGTCGTGAGGCTACGCTGGTGTCAGGGAATGGTCATAGGCGTGGCTTTTGGTAGGGGGCGTGTCTTCTTTCGTAGGCGTGGCCAGGGATCGATGGTGGGAGGGGCTTTAGGTGTTGGGCGTGGCCTGAGGTTCTACTGGTGTCAGGGAACGGTCGTAGGCGTGGCTTTTGTTATGGGGCGTGGGTTGTTCTGTGGGCGTGGCTAGGGATTGGTAATGGGCGTGGCTTTTGGTGGTGGGCGTGGCCTGAGGGTCTGGTGTCAGGGAACGGTCGTAGGCGTGGCTTTTGGTAGGGGGCGTGGCCAGGGCTCGAAGGTGGGTGTGTCTTTTGATTGTGAGTGCGGACTGAGGTAATGTGGGCGTGGCCTAAGGCCGCGCTGGTGTCCGGGAATGGTCAGAGGCGTGGCTTTTGGTAGGGGGGCGTGGCTTATTATGTGGGCGTGGCTAGGGATCGGTAATGGGCGTGGGTTTTGGTGGTGGGCGTGGCCTAAGGTTATATTGGTATCAGGGAATGGTCGTGGGCGTGGCTTTTGGTGGGGGGGGCGTGGCCTGAGGTTATACTGGTGTCAAGGAATGGTCGTAGGCGGGGCTTTTGGTAGGGGGCGTGGCCAGGAATTACGTGGGCGTGGTCAGGGATCGATGGTGGGCGTGGCTTCGGCGGGGGCAGGCAGAACTCAATCCCCCCAGCATGGAGCAGAGCTCCAGCAAAGCTGCACCCTGTGAGCAGGAAGCTGCGGGCAGCAGTCGATCCATTGCTCCCCACCTTCCAGGCGCTGGGAGACGCATTTATTAGATTTCATTAGCATGCAGCCCCTCCCCTCACGCCTGCAGAGGTGGGGGGTTTCCTCCGGGTGCCGGTGGGACGATGAATCGGAGTCTTCCTCGCTGTCATCCTCTGACCCTGCAGGAGGGGCAGGGCTCCGGTTCCCCCCTCTCTGATTCCCCTCCCTATGGTTCCCATCTCCATGGTTTCTGTCTCTGGTTCCACTCGCTCTGATTCCTCTCTCCATGATTCCCCTCTCTATGGTTCCTATCTCTCTCTGGGTCCTCTCTCCATGGTCCCCCTCTCTCTGGTTCCCATCTCTCTGGTTCCGTTCTCTATGGTCCCCCTCTCTCTGGTTCCCCTTTCTATGGTTCCCATCTCTATGGGTTCCCATTTCCATTGCTTCTGTCCCTATGGCTCCCCTCTCTATGGGTTCCCCTCTCTGGTTCCCCTTCCTATGGTTCCCATCTCTGTGGTTCCCCATCTCCGTGGTTCCCCCTCTCTCTGGTTCCCCTTCCCACGCTTCCCATCTCCATGCTTTGACTCTCTATGGGTTTCCATCTCCACGCTTCCCATCTCCCTGCTTTCTGTCCCCATGGTTTCCTCTCTCTCTGATTCCCCCATCTCCATGGGTTCCCCTCTCTGCTTTCACCTGATTCCCCTTCCTATGGTTCCGCTCTCTATGGGTTCCCATCTCCATGGTTTCTGTCTCTCTGGTTCCCTTCTCTCCGATTCCCCTCTCTATGGTTCCATTCTCTGTGTTTCCCATCTCCATGCTTTCCTTTCTCTCTGGTTTCCTCTCTCCCTGGTTCCCCTCTCTACGCTTCCCATCTCCATGGGTTCCTCTCTCTCCACTTCCCCTCCCTGTTTCCCCTTTCCAGGCTTCCCCTCTCTGTGTTTCCCCTCTCTACGCTTCCCATCTCCACGGCTCCTCCTCTCTCTGCTCCCTCTCCCCCCCCCCCACAGCCCCCTCCCCCCCGCCGCCATTTTGGCGCTCAGCTCCTCCGCTTCAGCCGCCATCTCCCGCAGCGCAGCCGCTCCTCTCTCCCGACTCCAGGCCAGCAGGAAGCGACATTTCCTCCGCGCTCGGCCCAACCTTTCCCTCTCCTCCCCCCTTTCCATCCTGCCCGCCCTCTCCAGCATCACCTCCATGTGATGCAACGCCGTCTCTGCGTCCTCCGTGGGTCGATGCCGGCTGCGTCCCCTCATCAGCTCAGCCACGGCCGCGACGGCGCCGGCGTCGCCCAAAGGACACTGAGGGTAACCGGCAGCTTCGGCCGAGCGCCGGGCATCCAGCAGAGCCTCCGCGGTGGAGGAGAAGGGCCGACGGCAACGCAGAGCCGCCGAGACGGCCATGGCGGCCATGGCGACATCTGGGAGGAAGGAATCGTCCCCCACATGGAGGCTGAGGGCGAAGGCGTAACCGTAGAGAACGTTGGGAAGCTGGAAGCGCAGCAACGGGGATGGGGTTGGAGCACGGAAAGAGCTGAGGGGGGGCACCCAGGTGGGGGTGGGGGGCATCGGGCCTGGAATGCCGGCGTCATCATCGTCGCCGTCCCCATCGGTGTCACCGGCGTCAGCGCCGTCCTCATCGCCAATGGTGACCCCACGGCCACCACTGACCCCACTGTCATCGGTGACACTGTTGTCATCGCCGTCCTCACCATCATTGGTGACCCTGTTGTCACCGCTGACCCCAATGTCATTGCTGACCCCACTGCCACCACTGCCCCCGTTGTCACTGGTGTCCCTGCACTCCAGCTTCTTGCTTTCCTCCTCCTCCTCCTCCTTCCTTATGTTCTCACTCTTGCTGGCCACGAAGGCTTCGCTCTTGTCAGCCATCTTGGCCGCGCTCTTGTCAGCCACGTTGGTCACCAAGTCTTCGATCTTGTCAGCCATCTTGGCTGTGCTCTCGTTGGCCACATTGGCTGCGCCCTTTTTGGCCACGTTGGCTGTCCTCTTACTGGCCACACTGGCTGTACCTTTTTTGGCTAAGTTGGCTGTCCCCTCATTGGCCACGTTGGCCACACTGGCTGTCCTCTCATTGGCCACACTGGCTTCAGTCTCACTGACCATGTTGGCTGTCCTCTCATTGGCCACACTGGCTGTGCCTTTTTTGGCTACATTGGTTGTCCTCTCATTGGCCACGTTGGCTTCAGTTCCATTGGCCATGCTGGCCACACTGGCTGTCCTCTCATTGGCCACACTGGCTGTCCTCTCATTGGCCATGTTGGCTTCAGTCTCACTGACCACGTTGGTCATGTTGGCTGTCCTCTCATTGGCCACGTTGGCTTCAGTTCCATTGGCCAAGTTGACCACATTGGCTGTCCTCTCATTGGCCACATTGGCTTCAGTTCCATTGGCCAAGTTGACCACATTGGCTGTCCTCTCATTGGCCACATTGGCTTCAGTTCCATTGGCCAAGTTGACCACATTGGCTGTCCTCTCATTGGCCACGTTGGCTTCAGTTCCATTGGCCAAGTTGACCACATTGGCTGTCCTCTCATTGGCCACATTGGCTTCAGTTCCATTGGCCAAGCTGACCACATTGGCTGTCCTCTCATTGGCCACATGGGCTGCACTGGCCATCCTCTCATCGACCACCTTGGCTGTTTTCTCCTTGGCCACCCTGCCGTCCCTCTCATTGCCCACGCTGGCCGTCCCCTTGCTGGCCGTGCTCTTACCGGCCACACCGTCCTCCTTCTTGCTGTCTGTGCCTTCGATGGCCGCCGCGCGGTTGCTGCTGGTCCCCTTCCCCGCCCCGGCCGCCCAGCCCTCTTCCCCTCCCCCGATCTCCTCCACCAGCCTCCTCCTCCCCCACCACCACGGCCTCCACGGAGGCAGCAGCCGGGCGGCCTCCCCGTTTTTCAGCATCCTCCGGAATTCGGCCTTTTGCTCCTCGCTCAGCCGCCCCCACAACCCGCGCTCTTCTCCCCCCCCCGCGCCGTCCCGCAGCCTCCCCATGGCGTCCCCCAGCCGGGCCCTGTCGGACGGCTCCGGAGGCGGTTGGGAGCTCAGTTCCCGCAGCACCTGCTCGCGGTAGAAGGCCTCGGCGCAGGCCCCGTGCCCGCGGTAGCAGCCGAGGGAGCAGAGACGGCGGTTGCAGCGGGGACACGTGTACGGAGCGCCGGCGGCCCCGCAGTGATCGCAAGAGGCCGCCATCTTGGCTCGGCCGCGCGGGAGACTTCCGCTTCCGGTCCCCGCTTTCGTCTATTCCGTTTCCGCTCGGCTGCTTCCGGAAGCGCTCGATTTCTTCGGCCCCGCTCGGCTCTTTCCGTTCCCCCTCGGCTTCTCCCGCCCCCCTCTCGGCCCTTTCCGGTCTCTCCTCTTTTCTTCCGCTCCCACTCGACTCCTTCCGAAAGCGCTCGGCCTTTTCCGTCCCTGCTCGGCTCTTTCCGGTCCCTTTCGGCTTCTGCCGCCCCCACTCAGCTTCTTCCGGCCTCTCTCGGCCCTTTCCGGTTCTTCTCGGCCCTTTCCGGCCTTGCTCGGCTCTTCCCTCCTACTCTCCGCCCACCTTGGCTCTTTCCGGAATCGCTCGGCTCCTTCCGCCCCAGCCCGGCTCTTTCCGTCCCTCCTGGGCTCTCCCTCCTCCCACCTCCCACTTCGGGTCTTTCCGGAATCGCTCGGCTCTTTCCGTCCCTCCTGGGCTGTCCCTCCTCCCCCCGCCCACTTCGGGTCTTTCCGGAATCGCTCGGCTCTTTCCGTTCCTCCTGGGCTGTCCCTCCTCCCCCCGCCCACTTCGGCTCTTTCCGGAATCGCTCGGCTTTTTCCGGCCGTCCTGGGCTCTGTCCCCCTCCCCCATTCTCGGCTTTTTCCGCCCCCGCTCGGCTCTTTCCGCCGCTCGCAGCGCTCCCCACCCCCGCACGGCGCTCCCCTGTAATTAACAGCCGCGCGGCGCCTGTAATTAACGTCTGCGGGCGCCCCGCCTCTAATTAAGGCTCATTAACACCCCCGCCGGGCGCTGAGGGAGACGGGGACTCATTAAGCGCAGGTTTCGCTTTCCCAGCGCTGAGATGGCCCCAAAGAACCCCAAAACTGCCCCCCCAAAAACCATAAACGACCCCAAATAAACCCAAATAGCCCCAAAATGAGGGGCCAGAAATCCGAAATGTGGGATTTGGGTTGAAAAAAAGACATTTTTGGCCCCAAAACGGAACTCCGGGCTTTGAAAAGCGAGGATTGGGGGCAGAACGATGAGGGGTGGGCTCCAAAATGGGGTTGAAAAATGAAAATTTGGGATTTTTTTGATGGGAAGAGGGGAAATTCGACCCAAAATGGGTTCGGGTGCTTAAAAAAAAGGGTTTTGAGACACAAAATTTGGGGTTTTGACCCCAAAATGGGGTTTTGGCGATTAAAAATTGGTGTTTGAGGCATAAAATCTGGGGGTTTGGGGCAAAAAATGGAGATTTGGGCCCTTAGAGTTTGGGATTTCAGACCCAAAATCGATGGTTTGGGCCCCAAAATGGGGATTTTGTCCACAAAATGGAGCATTTGAGACCCAGAATCTGGGGTATGGGCCTAAAAATGGGGGTTTGGACCCTAAAAATGCGGAGTTTGAGAGCCAGCATCAGTGGGCCTGGGTGCAAAAATGGGGATCTGAGCTCTTAAAATCGGGCACTGGGGACCCAAAATTGGGGATTTGGGAACCAAAATCGAGGATTTGGGCCAAAAATTGGCATTTGAGCCCCAGCATCAGGGATTTGAGACCCAAAATGAGGGATTTCAGATCCAACATCGGGGATTTGAGCCCCAACATCAGGGATTTCAGACCAAAATCAGGGATTTTGGACCCAAAATCGGGGATTTCAGACCCAAAATCAGAGATTTGGGACCCAAAATCAGGGATTTGAGATCCAACATCAGTGATCTGAGACCAAAATCGGGGATTTGGGACCCAAATTCAGGGATTTCAGACCCAAAATCAGGGATTTGAGACCCAACATCAGGGATTTGGGACCAAAAATCAGGGATTTGAGCCCCAAAATCAGGGATTTGAGACCCCACATAGGGGATTTGGGACCCAAAATCGGGTATTTCAGACCCAAAATCAGGGATTTGAGCCCCAACATCAGGGATTTGAGACCAAAAATCAGTGATTTGGGACCCAAAATCGGGGATTTCAGACCCAAAATCAGGGAATTGAGCCCCAAAATCAGGGATTTGAGACCCAAAATCAGGGATTTCAGACCCAACATCAGGGATTTGAGATCCAACATCAGGGATTTGGGACCCAAAATTGGGGATTTCAAACCGAAATTCAGGGATTTCGGACCCAAAATCGGGGATTTCGGACCCAAATTCAGGGATTTCGGACCCAAAATCGGGGATTTCGGACCCAAAATCAGGGATCTGAGATCCAACACCAGGGATTTGAGATCCAAAATTAGGGATTTGAGACCAAAATCAGTAATTTTGGACCCAAAATCGGGGATTTCAGACCCAAAATCAGGGAATTGAGATCCAACATCAGGGATTTTGGACCCAAAATGAGGGATTTCAGACCCAAATTCAGGGATTTCAGACCCAAAATCGGGGATTTCAGACCCCAAATCAGGGATTTGAGCCCCAAAATCAGGGATTTGAGATCCAAAATCAGGGATTTCAGACCCAAAATCAGGGATTTGAGATCCAAAATCAGGGATTTCAGACCCAAAATCAGGGATTTGAGATCCAAAATCAGGGATTTGAGACCAAAATCAGGGATTTTGGACCCAAAATTGGGGATTTCAAACTCAAATTCAGGGATTTCGGACCCAAAATCAGGGATTTGAGATCCAACATCAGGGATTTCAGACCAAAATCAGTAATTTTGGACCCAAAATCAGGGATTTCAGACCCAAAATCAGGGATTAGGGATCCAAATTCAGGGTTTTCTGATCCAAAATCAGGGATTTGAGCCCCTAAATCAGGGATTTGGGACCCAAAATCAGGGATTTCAGATCCAAAATCAGGGATTTGAGATCCAAAATCAGGGATTTCAGACCCAAAATCAGGGAATTGAGACCCAAAATCAGGGATTTGAGATCCAAAATCGGGGATTTCAGATCCAACATCAGGGATCTGAGCCCCAACTTCAGGGATTAGGGACCCAAAATCAGGGATTTCAGACCCAACATCAGTAATTTGAGACCCAAATTCAGGGATTTCAGACCCAAAATCAAGGATTTGGGCCAAAAATTGGGATTTGGGCCCCGAATTCCGGGGTTTGGCCCCAAAAAAGGCCATTTAGACCCCAAATTGGGGCTCTGGACCCCGGATTTGTGCAGCTCCCACCCCAGGGAGCATCGGGGCAATGAAGCGCACGGCAGTAATGAACGGTTAATAAACTTCTTTATTTGCATTTTACACGATTATTTCTTACATTCTCCATTAATTTCCCAGTAAAGTGCTGAAAGGGCGTTGGCGTTTTTTGGGTTGGTTGTTTATTATTTCGTTTTTTAATCTCTCTATAAAATATATATTTTATATCATTTTCTCCCATCTCTTTTGTAACTCAGCCTCCGACACGAAGGGGGGGGGAAAAGAAAAGGGAATTCCACCCGAATCCCAAATCTGAAGGAAATCAGCCCAAACTGCGCTGCCACCCCGCTGTGCTCCACCTCCCCGCTGCTTTTGGGGTTTATTGGGGTTTGGGGGTTTTTTTAAGGGTTTTTTTTTTGTTTAATTCCTGCCAGCGAAGCCCAAAAAGAGCAGAAAATGAGAATCTGCCCCCAGAATTAAAAATGAGAATAATAATAATAAAAAAAGCAGCGGAAAGGGGGCGTTTGGAAGGAAAACGCTGAGGGAAATGGGGGGGAAACGGAGGGGGAAAATGTCTGAGTGAGCAGATATGGGAATAGGGAGCAAAATGGTGGGAAATGGGAGCTGGAATTTGGGGGAATAGGGAGCAAAATGATGGGAAATGGGGAAATTTGAGCTGGAATTTGGGGGAATAGGGAGCAAAATGATGGGAAATGGGGAAATTTGAGCTGGAATTTGGGGAAATAAGGACCAAAATGATGGGAAATGGGGAAATGTGAACCAAAATGATGGGAAATTTGGAACATAGGGACCCAAATGTTGGGAAATTGGGAAATGGGGACTAAAATGTTGGGAAAGTGGGGACATATGGAGCAAAAAGTTGGGAAAATGAGGAAATATGGACTGAGATATTGGGAAAATGAAGAGATGAGACCCAAAGTTTTTAGAAGAGGGGAAAATATGGAGCAAAACGTTGGGAAAATGAGGAAATACAAACCGAAATTTGGGGGAAAATGGGGGAAATGTGGATCAAAATATCAGGAAAAAGGGGAAATATGGACCAAAGTGTTGGGAAAAGGGAAAGAAATGAACCGAAATTTTGGGAGGAGGGGAAACAGGAACCCAAATGTTGGGAAAATGGGGGAATATGAGCTGAAATTGTGGGGAAAGGGGGAAATAGGAACCGAAATGTGGGGAGAAAAGCAGAAATATCAACCAAAATGTGGGGAAAAAGGAGAGAGAGGAACCGAAATGTGGGGAAATGGGGAAATAGGAACCGAAATTTGGGGAAATAGGAACCGAAATTTGGGGAAATGGGGAAATAGGAACCAAAATTTGGGGAAATAGGAACTGAAATTTGGGGAAATGGGGAAATAGGAACCGAAATTTGGGGAAATAGGAACCGAAATTTGAGGAAATGGGGAAATAGGAACCGAAATTTGGGGAAATGGGAAAATAGGAACCGAAATTTGGGGAAATTTGGGGAAATAGGAACCGAAATTTGAGGAAATAGGAACTGAAATTTGGGGAAAAAGAGGAAATCTGAACTGAAATTTGGGGAAAATGGGTAAATATGGCCCAAAATTTTGTGAACACTGGGAAATACGAAATTTGGTAAATAAAAAATAGGGGGAAATGTGACCCGGAGGAGCCGAGGACGAGGAAACGAGCGGCGGTGGGAAGGAAGGGGAAAAAAACCACCAAAAATGGTACAAAAAAAAAGAAAAATAACCAAAA